GGGAATGGCAATGTATCTACAAGGAAGGGAGGTTGTGAGGGTTAAATGAGACAATGCAGGTATAGTGCCTGGCATATAGTAAGTACTTAGTAAATGTTAGTTATTAATACTATTACTATATATGCAGTGTTCCTAATAATTCATTCAGTACTTTTTTTATTTGGAGGCAATATAGCACACTGGTTAAACCAAAGCAGAGATTTTGGAGCTGGACAACCTGAACCCAAAGCCCGCTCTACCATTTAGTAGCCTTTATTCCCGGGAAAATTTCTTTTTTTTCTTCCAATTTTATTTCATCTTTAGGGGGTACATATACAAATTTGTTACATGGGTAAATTGCATGTTTCTGGGTTTTGGTACACAAATGATTTCATCATGCAGGTAATGCGCATAGTACAAATAGGTAGTTATTTTATTCCCATCCTCCTCCCACCTTCCAGCCTCAAGCAAGCCCCAGTGTCTTTTGTTTCCTTCTTTGTGTTCCTGCATACTCAATATTTAGCTCCCTTTTATAAGTAAGAACATGTGGTATTTGGTTTTCTGTTCCTCTGTTAATTAGCTTAGAATAATGGCCTCCAGTTCCATCTATGTTGCTGCAAAAGGCATGATTTATTTTCATAGCTTTGTGTTACTCCATGGTGTATATGTACCACATTTTCTTTCTCCAGTCTATCATTCATCATCATCTAGGCTGAATCCATGTATTTGCTATTATGAAAAGTGCTGCAATGAATATACACATCCATGTGTCTTTGTGGTAGAACAGTTATGTATTCCTTTGGATATATACCCAGTAATGCGATTGCTGGATCAAATGATAGTTCTTTTTTAAGTTCTTTGAGAAATATCCAAACTGCTTTCTACCATGGCTGCACTAATTTACATTCCCACCAGCAGTGTATAAGCATTTTATTACTGGGAAAGCTTCTCAGCTGCTCTCTGTCTATAGTTCCTCATCAAATGGGGTTATAACAGTTCCTACATTGGAGAATTATTTAAGTTAATAAATGCAAAGCATTTAGGACAGTACCTGCCATATAATATATGCTATTTAAGGGGCCACTGTTGCTATTATTATTGTTGTTATTATTTTATTGTAATTATTAAGCATGCATTCTAGAATGCTGGAATATAGTAGTGAGCAAAATAAACTCAGCCCAAGCCCCATCCTTCCCCAGGATCTGGAGAGAAAATGCTAGGGAAGAGTAACTCTAAAGGGGCAGGGAGGACCTTACTGACAAACAAGTGAAGCAGGCTACAATCCTAAACAGTTAAATTCCCCAGATTGTAGCATCTGTCATTTGTACAAAATATCCTGCAGTGTCCTGCTAAACCCCAGGCATACCCAATGAGGCCAAATTGAAATAGCTCCCAGCTATTCAATTATGTAACATCAGGGACAGAGTAGACTCCTTACTGGAGCCACAGACTAGGGCCACGGCCTGAGTGTCTGTCTGCAGACTGCCAGGATCTTCCTGGGGAGGAGCTACCTCCCTTATTGTCTCCTGATTCAGATGAGCACAAAGGAAAAGGAGGAAGGCTGGCATTTTATTGGAAATGATAAACTTCATTAGGCAGGAATGTCATGATGATCCGAATAGCATCTGTTTTGAGGACTTGCTCACCATGTCCCTGTGAAGGCACTGAGACTACCATTAACAAGTGGCATAGGGGCAGCCTGGTTCCAATAGGACCACAGGCAACCAGAGTTTGGGAGGGCTTTGTCAGCTGCTCTTCTCTGGAAAACCTCTCAGTGAAGCAAGACCAAAGAAGATAGAGTGCTACCCACAGCCTAAATGGGCAGGCAAAACTAAAAGCTGTGAGCCTCATGGTAGCTAAGTGTCAAGTGTGTAGTATGTCAGGATCTTCACAACTGGTGTTAGAAGTTCGAGAAGGGGAGCCACATCAGCTTGAGCTAGCAGCTGCAGTCATGGAAAGTTTCTTTGAGGAAGAAGAATGTGTGAATTTGACCATGAAATCTAGGATTGGAATAAGAGGCATGGTTGGGCCAGAGAGCAGATATTAGTGTGAAACCAAGTATATATCTGTTATTTTAGTGAGTGGCTGGCAAATACCATTTGGCAAATACCACTCTGTCCTGAAAGGGCACATAGAATTTCCAGGGACAGTGGAGTAGCTATATGAATTGAAAACATATTTAGAGTTACTCTTGCTTTGACTTATTTTTACTCACAATATTTGAATTATTTGGAAAGTTTAAATGAGCTAACAGAGGTAGTGAGATTGTTTTTCTTTTACATTTATCAGAAGAGATTTTAAAGGATTATGAAACACTGGCCCAGGAGCAAGAAAGCTCAGGGCTGTATTTGATGGACAAGTCTGGCCGCATGTCCTAAAAATGAAATGTTTACATTAGAGCTTTATAACTATTTTACAGAATAAGGATAACTGTCTTCATTTCTTAGTTCAGAAAATTGGGGCCCAGAGAGGTTAACTGGCTTACCCATAATCATACAGCTGTAGGTTAAGCAGCAAGGCATCAAACTCAGGGCTTCAGACTACATCATGCTCTTTCTTTTGTTCCATGCTGCTTATGGGCTTAGTTACATCTTTCTGATTGGACTTCCTTAACTAGTAGATCATTCTTAATTATCCTTATCACATCTCTACATTTGTCTTATGACTAATCTAGTGCCTGAAAACTCACTTTCAACCCTCTGGAGGACCAGAGAGAACAGGCAAAGGGAATAATTTTAGTAACACATCACTCTAGCCCTGTTTCCCGACCACAGGAGCAGAAATTCTCTCTAGCTCCTTGTCATCCTTAAATACCTAAAGAAACAATAGAAGGTTTAATTGATGCTTTTAATGTAGTTTCAAGATCATGCATATTCTTTCTATTTTTGGGAACTAGCAAAGGTGTTAAAAGCTCTCAATGACTATGACACACCAACTCAGAATGGGGGTGGAGCGGAAGGAGGCTGCAGACTGAAGTTAGCAACAAGGAAGTTAAGGCTGCCTGTTTTAGGCAATGTGGTCCAGTGAGAATATGTAGTTTAGATCTGGCTTTCCAGGTTTGTGTGTATTGTATTATGTACGGTAAGGCAGAATTCAAACCTTTCTGAGATCAAGATAAATTACATTCATACATTCTCCCTAGCTTGTCCTGCTTTTGTACTTAGTACAGCTGGACTCTTCCTCTTCTGTGAACTTGATCCCAGGGACACCCAATAGATGAGAATCCATCTATATTCTTTGCTTATTTACATGAACAATCATTATTGGAGGGAAAAAAGCAACATGATTGTTATTTTTTGAAAAGCAATTCAACGACATCTGTATTTTCCTGCCTGGGTCTTTGAGGTTAACAGAGCTATGCTGGGAACCCTGCAAGGTAGCCTTTCTCAGCCCATCTGAAAATCTCAGTATACTGCATAGTATGAAGATTTAGGATTGGGAATGTGGGTGTTCAAAAAAAGATTCTTCGTATGGAGCCCACAGCTGAGAAGTTGTCACGTTAGGCAATTCAGTAGAATGAGAATGTTTTAATTGAACTGTATAATGCTAATAAAAAATTAATGAGCATTTCTGACTCTGTCCAGCTGACTGAAAGAGCAAATAAAGCAGAGAGGAGGGAAAGTTAGCCTGAAAACATCTGTCAGGGCAGGGCTTATATGGGCGTTCCTCAGCCTGACTCAGCCGTGCTACATGCGCCAGCAGTGGATGTGTTCTCAGAGAGGCTGATGGTAGTGCCAAGAGGAGGAGGAGCTGAAAGGTCACTTCAAGAGATTTATAAGATCTGACATTCCATAGGCCTGTATGTCATTTCATCCATCCCTCTGTTTTCTTTTTTAACTTATGAAACATCTGACATCCAGAAATATGTAAAAATAATATAATGAACACCCATGTGCTTGCTATCCAACTTAAGAAATAATTCATTACAGATAGTTTTCCTTCCCACCCTCTCTTCTGCTTTTTCTTCCTGTTCGTTTCTTTACCCTCTGCATTTTCTGCCCTGCACTGTCTGGAATTTGGCATATATCATTGTCACATGTTTCTTTATAATTTTCTACATGCATAAGTATCTTTAAACCTTATGTGGAATTGTTTTGTAAGGGAATAGATACAGATGAGATAAAACTATATAGAAGGGAAACCATGGAAATTATGAGCATAGTACTTAGGATGGAGGATGCCTTGAGGTCATAACTTTGGGATTGGTGGCAGATTTACCAGTACTTTATATTATTAAAATAAGTAAGTAAATGAATAAATAGAGAAATAAAAATGCCATGCATGGATTAATGATGAGTGTCTCATGGACTAGAGTTAGGATTAATCCAATTTTGTATATATGAGAGCAAGAAAACAATAACAAATAGGCAGCATACTGTTTGTATCTATACACAACTTGTTTTTCTCACACCATAAGATTTGTGACATTCATCTGTGTTGATATGTGAACTTCTTCTTTATCTAGTTTTACCTCCATTTCTTCTGCTAGACTGGGCCTTTTCTAAAAATCCCGAGAGTCCTAAGTGTTAGACCCTTGCTAGGTAATCCTTCTTTGCCAGCAGTCTGTAGTCTCCTGGCTGCTCTTACCACTCAATCCCCCTCTGATGTTCAGGTCTCACTGGCCTGCATGGATATTTGAACACATCCCAGGCAACCAGCCAGCTCATTTCATACCTCTGCCAGGCTTGCTGACATTTTAGAAAAGGAGAAGCCCTTACTAGCCATGTTTGTGTGGCTTACTGTTTCCTACCTCCCATCAACAGTCTTGCACATACGTCCATGGATTGACTCTGGCATCTTAAATGATCTTTGGAGGTGAAACCAAGGCTTTTTCTTGGGGCATTTGTTTAACCAACCTGCCAATGTCAGACTGCTAATATAATCTGGCCGAATTTATAAGAAACCAACCCCCACTGGTACGTCAAAACAGTAACAGTGTTAGCATTTTCCTGTGCCCATATGCCAATTCTTCTAGAACCCACCCTGCACATATCTTAAGAAACCTCTTCCTTCCCATCTAGGACCTAATCCGGAGAGATATCCTGTACTACAAAGGCCGCATTGACATGGATAAATATCAGGTGGTTGACATTGAGGATGGCAGAGATGATGACTTTAATGTCAGCATGAAGAATGCCTTCAAGCTTCACAACAAGGAGACTGAGGAGATACATCTGTTCTTTGCCAAGAAGCTGGAGGAAAAAATACGCTGGCTCAGGGCTTTCAGAGAAGAGAGGAAAATGGTACAGGAAGATGAAAAAATCGGTAAGTGACCTGAGAGTAGAAAGAAGAATATGGCTATGAAGAGCATAGGAGGTTTGAATTGGTTTCCATTTTCCTGGAGTCAGAGGGAAGATTTCTGTTGCAAACTGACTTAAGCTACTTTGGTGGTTCCTTATTATTAGGTTGTTTTTGGTAAGTACCAACAGCTTCTATTAGTCAGTGGTAGGTGGAAACTATAGGTTGTCCTCCCCTACCAGCTAAGAATATCACACTGAAAGCCAACCTCAGGCTTGATTCTCCCAAATATACAAATACTTATTAGCAAATAAACAAAAATCAGTTATACAACCTATTCTGTAATCTTCATAAAGCCTCAGCCCTCTGTCATTAGGTATATAGTTTGTACTTTTGATTAGGATACTGCAGATGTTAACTAAATTCCCCTAGATTGTAGATTAAAATAATATACACATACATTTCACACTTTCTGTGTGGATGTAAATTATAGAAAATATAGAAGGACCTAAAACCATGACCATTTGCATGATTTCAAATTACACCTAAACATACTTTTTGCCTTACAATAGATTGTTTCTCTTTTCCAGAGGGGATCTAAATAGTAGATTTATTTTTCATGCTGCTTCCCAATTGTGGGATTTAGACACCGTTGGTTATAACTTTCTGGCTTACAAAGTACTATTTGGTCTCTTGCTCATGATCCTGCCTTTCTGTCATAAAAAATACCAAGCAACCAGGCTTGTTAACTCCCAGAGAAGACATACAGTTTCTGTGTTTGCCCCATTGCTTATGGGAGTGAAATTGTACTTTAAAACGCCTGTATGCTCAAGTTGGCAGAAATTTTCTCTAGAAAAATGAGCCTACTCATTGAATCCTGATGTGAAAGGGTTCTCTTATCCTTCCATGTTGGGGATTGAAATTTTCCAGAGGTAAGGAAGGATGGTCAGAAAGACAAGTCTAATTCCAGTCTTCTCCTCAGAACTTGGGTAGAGTGTACATTAATAACTCACTTTGAGTCTCATTGGAATCAGATTGCTTTTAGCATATGGACACTGCACTGGGGCATAATGTGGAGTGGTTTATAAATGTTGCTGGCTACTTCTCTCAAAGGCAAGCAGCAGCAGCCACTGACCCTGCCTAGGCTGTTAGAGGTATTAAAAGAATGGTCTTAGTGTTCAGACCCTGAATAAATTAGACAGCCCCTGCCATTCCCGTTGGCTCTAACACTATGTCTCCTCCCACACAGTGCCCTAATAACACTGTGACTTTATCTGCTTCTAATAGAAAAGCTTCTAGAAATTATTTTCTGAACAGGCATATGTTCATCTTTGAAAACATTGAGGGATTTTTTTTGTTTGATAATAACAACAAATCACTTCTATTGTAGGAAATTTGGGGAAAAAAACAGAAAAATACAAGAAAAAAGTAAAAATCACACATGAACATACTCAGTAATGACTTTCATAAACATTTTGATATATATTTCTAGCCTTTATTTAATGTGTCTAGTTAGAAAAGCCAAGGTGACAGAATCTTATTTTTTTTCTGTCCCCTTACTACCTCTTTTTTTTTTTAATTGCATTTTAGGTTTTGGGGTACATGTGAAGAACATGCAAGATTGTTGCACAGGTACACACATGGCAGTGTGATTTGCTGCCTTCCTCCCCATCACCCATATCTGGCATTTCTCCCCATGCTATCTCTCCCCAACTCCCCACCCCCACTGACCCTCCCCTATTTCCCTCCAATAGACCCCAGTGTGTAGTGCTCCCCTCCCTGTGTCCATGTGTTCTCATTGTTCAACACCCGCCTATGAGTGAGAACATGCGGTGTTTGATCTTCTGCTCTTGTGTCAGTTTGCTGAGAATGATGGTTTCCACGTTCACCCATGTTCCCACAAAGGACACAAACTCATCGTTTTTGATGACTGCATAATATTCCATGGTGTATATGTGCCACATTTTCCCTGTCCAGTCTATCATCGATGGGCATTTGGGTTGGTTCCAGGTCTTTGCTATTATAAACAGTGCTGCAGTGAACATTCATGTGCACGTGTCCTTATAGTAGAACGATTTGTAATCCTTGGGATATATACCCAGTAATGGGATTGCTGGGTCAAATGGAATTTCTATTTCTAGGTCCTTGAAGAATCGCCACACTGTCTTCCACAATGGTTGAACTAAAATTTACACTCCCACCAACAGTGCAAAAGTGTTCCTATTTCTCCACATCCTCTCCAGCATCTGTTGTCTCCAGATTTTTTAATGATCGCCATTCTAACTGGCGTGAGATGGTATCTCAATGTAGTTTTGATTTGCATTTCTCTGATGACCAGTGATGATGAGCATTTTTTCATATGTTTGTTGGCCTCATGTATGTCTTCTTTTGTAAAGTATCTGTTCATATCCTTTGCCCACTTTTGAATGGGCGTGTTTGTTTTTTTCTTGTAAATCTGTTTTAGTTCTTTGTAAATTCTGGATATCAGCCCTTTGTCAGATGGGTAAACTGCAAAAATTTTTTCCCATTCTGTTGGTTGCCGATTCACTCTAATGACTGTTTCTTTTGGCGTGCAGAAGCTGTGGAGTTTGATTAGGTCCCATTTGTCTATTTTGGCTTTTGTTGTCAATGCTTTTGGTATTTTGGTCATGAAGTCCTTGTCTACGCCTATGTCCTGAATGGTTTTGCCTAGATTTTCTTCTAGGGTTTTATTTTTTCTACTTTCTTTTAGGTTTTAAAAAATATTTTAGATTCTTTCCCTGTTTCATTGGTTGAATACTTTGTTTATTTTCAGTTTTACAAAATTATAAAATCATTTTAGAGTATGTTTTCTTCTGAATAAAGTCTCAACTGTATCCCATAGTTTTTAATATAGTATTTCCTGATTTTTTAAATGATCCCCATTCTAACTGGCATGAGGTGGTATCTCGATGGGATTTTGATTTGCATTTCTCTAATCATCAGTGATGACGGGCATTTTTTCATATGTCTTCTTTTGAAAAGTGTCTGTTCATATCCTTTGCCCACTTTTGGATGGGTTTTTTGTTTTTTTCTTGTAAATCTGTTTTAGTTCTTTGTAGATTCTGGATATCAGTCCTTTGTCAGATGCGTAGATTGCAAAAATTTTTTCTCATTCTATTGGTTGCCGGTTCAGTCTAATGATTGTTTCTTTTGCTGTACATAAGCTCTGGAGTTTAATTAGGTCCCATTTGTCTATTTTGGCTTTTGTTTCCAATGCTTTTGGTGTTTTAGTCATGAAGCCCTTGCCTATGCCTATATCCCGAATGGTTTTGCCTAGATTTTCTTCTAGGATTTTTATGGTGTTAGATCTTATGTTTCTGAAGTTAATTTTAGTATAAGGTGTCAGGAAGAGGTCCAGTTTCTGCTTTCTGCACACTGCTAGCCAGTTTTCCCAACACCATTTATTAAACAGGGAATCCTTTCCTCATTGCTTATTTTTGTCTGGTTTGTCAAAGATCAGATGGTTGTAGATGTGTGGTGTTGCCTCCAAGGCCTCTGTTCTGTTCCATTGGTCTATATCTCTGTTAATTATAAATTATTCTATTATAAAGACACATGCACAGGTATGTTCATAGCAGCACTGTTTACAATAGCAAAGACCTGGAACCAACCTAAATGCCCATCAATGATAGACTGGATACGGAAAATGTGGCACATATACACCATGGAATATTATGCAGCCATCAAAAACGATGAGTTCGTGTCTTTTGTAGGGACATGGATGAATCTGGAAACCACCATTCTCAGCAAGCTGACACAAGAACGGAAAATCAAGCACCACATGTTCTCACTCATAGGCAGGTGTTGAACAGTGAGAACACACGGACACAGGGAGGGGAGCATCACACACTGGGGTCTGTTGGTGGGGGCAAGGGAGGGACAGTGGGAGTGGTGGGGAGGTCAGGGAGGCATAACATAAGAAGAAATGCCAGATATAAGTGACGGAGGGATGGAGGCAGCAAACCACATTGCCATGTGTGTACCAATGCAACCTGCATGATCTGCACATGTACCCTAGAACGTAAAGTACAATTAAAAAAATAAATAAAATAAAATTTCCTTTTTAGTCATTTTTAGACATTTTATAACTTCAGGAATGGTTTCCTTTTGATCCAGGGTTTATTCAGAAGACCATTACATTGAGTGCAGTGGCTCGTGCCTATGATCCTAGCACTTTAGGAGGCTGAGGTGGGAGGATCACTTGGGCCCAGGAGTTCAAGACAGCCTGGTAAACACAGGGAGACCCCATGTCTACAAAAAATAAGGAATTTTTAAAATGATTAGCCAGGTCCACGTGGTGGCACGAGCCTGTGGTCCCAGATACTCAGGAGGCTAAGGTCAGAGGATTGCTTAAGGCTGGGCTGTCAAGGCTGCAGTGAGTTATGATCATGCCACTGCACTCCAGCCTGGGTGACAGAGCAAAAAACTAAAATAAAATAAAATAAAAGCTATTACTTCCAATGTTTCAGATGAGGATTCTAGTAATACTAAGTAATATTATGATGTCTCTTTTTCATTAAGTAAGCTATCCTTTCTGTTGTGAAGCTTGTCAGATTTTTTTTTATCCTGAAGTTTGGGAATTCCACTAGTCAATATCTAGGTGTGCATCTATGCATGCTCATCCTGCCTTGGGCTTAGCAAGACGTTTTGTTCTTTCCACAGTAAGTATATATATTTTTTCCCTTAGCCAAGTTTTTTGTTACTTCTTTATTACTATCTTCCGTTTGATTTTTTTTCCCTCCTTTTGAAACTTTTATTATTTATATATACATCTTCTGTTTGAACTATATCTTTTGGCTCATTATGTCTTTTTCTTTATAATTTTGCTTTTGGTTACAAAATATTTCTTTGACTATGCCATGCTTTATTTAACCATTCTCCGCTTAACAGGCCCTTAGCCCATGTTCACAATTCTTTTTTTGGCTCTCTATTTTGTGATGTGCAATTTTGTAGCTAAGTTTTTGTTCAAGTTTGTAACAGATTTCCTTAAATTCCTAGAAAGGAATTACTAGGTTAAAGGGAATGCCATTTCTTTTTCTTTTTTTGGGGGGGCGGGGGAGTATTTCAAGATTTTTTGATATGTCTTACCAAATCTTGCTTACAGAAAAGTTTTACTTATTTATACACTCAAGAAGAGTATGTGTTTCTCATTTTAAAAAATCATATATTTTTCTTTTTTAGGCTTTGAAATTTCTGAAAATCAGAAGAGGCAGGCTGCAATGACTGTGAGAAAAGTCCCTAAGCAAAAAGGTAAAGCTGTCTTTACCTCCTCAGCCCCACTGACTCTCTGTTAAAGACTGTGGAATCATAAGCTACATGCTTACATGTTCGTAGGCTCATTTCTGTGCTGAGGTTTACTTGGGGGTGGTGGAGGAGTATTCATGTCCCTAGGTATCCTTGATGACAGATAGCAAATGGTTTTCAATGCTTAAGGCTAAGGAGTGAATCGTACAGGGTACTTGTGTCCAAAGTGTCCAAAGATAGCTCATTGAGTACAGCAAAAAATCAAACCTCTGTTTATTTTTATTTAAAAATCAGGGAAACTTTACTAATAATTTAGAGGCAGATGGTCAATAATGTGTGTGTATACATACACACACACACACACACACACACACACACAATAAGTATAAAGAGATTATTCAGCTTTCTGTCACTGGTCTAAGGACATGTGCCAAATCAGGAGCCCCAAATCACAATAAAGAACCTCAAACTGATCCAAGACAAAAGATTCAGGTATTCTCTCTTTCTGGTAACCACAAGCCAAAGTACTTAAGAAAAAATACGTTGCAAATCAATTTAAATCTGAAGTAAAGCTTTAGTTTCTCTTTTCTCATGAACCAGAACAAAACTATGATGCTCAGCCAAACAAAGGGGAGGAACTACTTTCTGCTTATTAGAATACCTATTCATTATTCGTCACTTTATGTAAGTTCTTTCATTTCATCTTTATGGTAATCCTGAGAAGGCAGTCACTGCTAACTCCATTTGTTAGATGAGGTTGCTGAGGGTCTTTGAGTGAAGTAACTCTGAGCTTACTTCAGCTTTACTCAGAGTTCACTGCTTTCTCCTCTCCATCTCAGGGTCCTGATGATGCCCCACGCTTGGTAAGAAGAGTTTAGTTTTCTGTCTTGCTTCAATTACTGACAGCTGCTTCTATTACTGATAGCCGTTTTCACTGTCCCCAGGGGTAGGCAATCTTAATGAGACCTTGCTTTCCCCAGGCTTTTCCTTCTGTTTTCCCAATGGGCTTTGCCGTATTGAATGAGTCACTATCCAAAATGATCAGATTCAGATATCCTGAAATTTCCAGTAGCCATGTGAAGTTCCTTTTTTTTTTTTTTTTTTTTTTTTTTTTTTTTTTTTTTTTTTTTTTTTTTTTTTTTTTTTTTTTTTTTTTTTTTTTTTTTTTTTTTTTGAGACAGAGTCTCACACTGTCACAGGGGCTGCTGGAGTGCAATGGTGTGATCTCAGCTTACTGCAACCTCTGCCTTCCAGATTCAAGAGATTAGCTGGGATTACAGGTGCCCGCCACCACTACGGCTAATTTTTTTTTGTACTTTTAGTAGAGGAGGGGTTTTACTATGTTGGCCAGGCTGGTCTCGAACTCCTGACCTCATGATCCTCCCACCTCGGCCTCCCAAAGTGCTGTGATTACAGGTGTGAGCCCCTGCACCTGGCCTAAAGCTCTTTTTAATTGAGGCTGAATGCCTGTGAATATTTTATTTCCAGTTAAGCAGTGCACCTATCTCTGCTGACTAGACATGTCTCCCTTCAACTGCTTATTCTAGCTCTTGGGATGCCTTTATTGGGAATATGATTCCCCTTATATAGGGAATTAAGGCCAGTCTTAATTAGCCACCAAAAAGTTGGGAGTTAATTTAAGGTTGCGAATTAACTCCCAACCTTTTGATTGCTATAATAACATGTGACAGATGGTATTAGAAAGCAATCTGGAGATAATGTCAGTAAGGATCTGACCTGTATTAACAGAACTCTGTAAGATTTTGCTCCAATTCCTCAGACAGAGATGTGAGTAGAAAAGAGCCCCAGCCACCTGAGGAGTTTTCAGGTGGAAAAGGAATACTGTCCAAACAGCTTGTCATTGTCTCCTGGATGCTCTCAGGTCCTGAACTTCCTCACTCTGATTTCCTTTACTTCCCTCACTGTATTAGTCAGAGTTCTCTAGAGGGACAGAACTAAAAGGATATCTGTCTGTCTATCTATCTATCTATCTATCTATCTATCTATCTATCTATCTATCTGAGTTCATAGAGGAGTATTAACTCATGATTGCAAGGTCCCACAATAGGCCATCTGCAAGCTGAGGAGCAAAGAAGTCAGTTCCAGTCCCAAAGCTGAAGAACTTGGAGTCTGATGTTTGAGGGTAGGAAGCATCCACCATGGGAGAAAGATATATCCTGGGAGGCTAAGCCAGTCTAGTATCTCCACGTTCTTCTGTCTGCTTTTTATTCTGGCCATGCTGGCAGCTGATTAAATGATGCCCAACCAGATTGAGGGTGGGTCTGCCTCTCCCAGTCCACTGACTCAAGTGTTAATCTCCTTTGGCAACACCCTCACAGATACATGCAGCAACAATACTGTGCATTCTTCAGTCCATTCAAGTTGACACTGTTAACCATCACATCCACCATGCTGACCTTTATGGTACTCCATTATCCCAGCCCAGGTTCCTCAAGCATATCTGAGACTGACTTGTCTTTTCACTGAGAACACTTCAAACAAAGGAATATCCACAAAGCAACCAGGAGTTGATTAACCAGAAGATAGCCCTGCTAACTCATGCCAAGTGTTTTGCTCACAGTCCTTCCCCACCCTATGTATCTCCAGGCTATTCCTTTTAGGCCCTCTCTTGTCTAAATACTAGTTTAGTTGAGCAGTTTGCTTCTTTCCTTGACAGCAATTCTAAAGTCTTCAAAGAAAATCATTTCGTTTCTTTCTTTTTTTTTCTTTTCTTTTTCTTTTTTTTTTGAGATGGCATTTCACTCTTATCGCCCAGGCTGGAGTGCAGTGATGTGATCTCGCCTACAGCCTCCGCCTCCTGGGTTCAAGTGATTCTCCTGCCTCAGCCTCCCAAGTATGTGGGATTACAGGTGCTTACCACCACGCCTGACTAATTTTTGTATTTTTAGTAGAGACGGGGTTTCACCTTGTTGGCTAGGCTAGTCTCGAACTCCTGACCTCAGGTGATCTGCCCACCTCGTCCTCCCAAAGTTCTGGGATTACAGGCATGAGCCACTGCACCTGCCCTCATTTAGTTTCAAACCTCCCAGGATAACTACAAATCTCCTCTCTTATTTTTATTTTTGGTCTTCAAGACTCTCCTAGTCCAGGGCTGTGGTAACTAATATATTTTGAGATGCTATACATGTGGAAGTGGTTCTCAAATGTAGGAATTTATTAGTTACAATATGTACATGGGAAGAGCAAGAAGAGGTTCTTTCAGATAATCATGAAAGCTGGCTTCCTTGACCTTTTCATTGACCCATCGCAGGAAGTGAGGGGCATTGTTAAGAGCTCTCCAATGCAGATGTCATCAGATAGGTAACTACTCTAGGATCCCATCCCAACCCCATCTATAACACTGGGATATTATCAACTCAGTCTACTGCTCTGGGGGAGGGGGAACCTGGCTGAAATAACAGTATAGAATACCAGATCTGGCTCCAAGAAAGGCCTTTTCACTTGACCTTTGTCTTTCACACTGCCTTGGTTTTAAGAATTGATATATAACTTTGTGAAAGTTATATGCTAATTCCTGGTCCATAATGCTAATTCATTTGGCCAGTATAGAGCTCCCCATGGCTATGAGCACAGACTTCATCTTCAGAGGCTTTGGGGCCAGCATAAAATCAAATGAGCCCCCTAGAATAGCTAAAATGTTCTCAAAAAAGAAGAATAAAACGTGAGTAATCAATCTACCCAGTTTCAACACTCATTATATAGTTACAGCAACCAAGACAATGTAATTTTGGCAGAAGGGTGGACATGTTAGATCAATGCCACAGAACCCAGAAATAGACCTATACAAATATGCCCAGTTGATTTTTTATTTTTTATTAATATGTAATAATTGTACATATTTATTTAGTACATGTGATATTTTGATACATGTATACAATGTTTAATGATCAAATCAGGGTAATTAGGATAGGATATCTGTCACCTCAAACATGTATCATTTCTTTGTGTTAGGAACATTTCAAATCTTCTATTTATTTTGAAATATGCAATAAATTATTGTTAACTACTGTCACCCTACTGTGCTACTGAGCACTAGAACTTATTCCATCTATCAAACTGTGTTTTTGTATCCATTAATCAACCTCTCTTCATTTCCCTAACACCGTCTTTCCCAGCCTCTAATAACCATCATTATACTTCCTACCTCCATGGAATCCACTTTTTTAGCTCCTACATGTGAGTGAGATCATTTGATATTTGTCTTTCTGTGCCTGGCTTATTTCACTTAACATTATGAGCTCCAGTTTCATCCATGTTGCAGAAAATGATAGGAATTCATTCTTTCTGTGGCTGAATAATATTCCACCGTGTATATAGACCACGTTCTCTTCATCCATTCATCCACTGACAGATACTTTGGTTGATTCCATATCTTGGTTATTGTGAATAGTGCTGTGATAAATATAGGACTGCAAATATCACTTCAACATACTCATTTCCTTTTAGATAAGTACCCAGAAAAGATGGTGGTTATAAAAGTGTAACAACAGTGATCCTTGTGATGATGGAAATGCTCTATATGTTGTCTGTATCCTGTTATAATGTCAATATCCTGGTTGTGATATTGTACTATAGTTTTGCAAAATGTTACCATTGGGAAAACTGTGTAAAGAGTACACAGGATCTGTATTATTTCTTAAAACTGCATGTGAACCTGTAATAATTTCAAATAAAAGCTTTTTAAAAAATATCCAATTAGTACTCACAAAACTCCCTAATATCTCTGTATTGTCTGTTGGCATTCAGTATCCTCAAGCTTCTGACACTTACCACCTTGCAAAACTAGCTCTTAGAATCTGATCTTTCTCACTGAAGTGCCAATGGCTGATGATGGCTTAAATGATACTACTTCCAGGGTAATGGGATTTAGTCATCAAGCAAAGGCAAACAAAGTAACTGTAATGCTGGAATTCCAGACACTGAGTAGCAGATGAGGAAGGTATTTGGGAGCAGCAGAGAGAAGCCTTCCTTGCATGTCTGAATCATATGCTGTATGTCTCATTGTATTCTGCTCTGAATGTAGATCAGCATTAAACTTTCACTTGAGGCCTCCAGGTTCCTGGAGTCCTCCATTAATGTGGGTTTTACTTTGATGGTTGCAAACCTACCTACAAATGTTGAGAAGGTTTTAATGTTAGTGTCATTTAAGCTATTCTGTTTGAAAGACATGTATATATTCTGTCTTCCTTGCTCCCCATAAATTATACCTTCTGGTATTAAGTTTACTTTCTCTTTCCCCTACTGATGTCAATTCCCTATTAAATGCAGGTTCACTCTCAACCCAGGACAGAACACTAACATGCTTTTAGAACGCTACCTTATGGTTTTAGAAAATTTCTCCCAGAAACCTATTCTGAAGTCGATAGTTCTAAACCAGGCTCTTTTAAAACTTCCCGGGGGGACTTACAGAAAGAGAAAACCGAGACCGTTGGAGTTAAATGGAGTTTGTTGGGTTATTTGCAGGACCAAGCCCTGCATAAGAGATTCTAGTCTCTTGGAAAGAGCTCTGAACTGAGAAGTCAAAGAATGTAGGTTCTGACCCTTGCTTTGTCACTAACTTACCATGTGACTTTGAGTATGACATTTCTTTTTAGATGTCAGTATTCTCATCTGTAAAATAGATGATAGAAACACCCCAAATTTCTTTGATACCTGACTAGATGTGGAAGTGTGTGGGGTTGCAGTAATAGCTATGGTATTCCAAAATCTGCTTGAAAGAGGAATTATCTCCTTAGATGATTTGTAATTCCAGTTAACACAATCTAAACCAGTGCCTTCAGTTGTCCGCCCAGAGTGGTCACTGGGTAATTTGAGAAGCACTTTGTTACATAACTTAACACCCTTTCCCTTTGATCTCCCATCTACTCTAGGTGTCAACTCTGCCCGCTCAGTTCCTCCTTCCTACCCACCACCACAGGACCCGTTAAACCACGGCCAGTACCTGGTCCCCGATGGCATCGCTCAGTCGCAGGTCTTTGAGTTCACCGAACCCAAGCGCAGCCAGTCACCATTCTGGCAAAACTTCAGCAGGTTAACCCCATTCAAAAAATGATACCTACAGGGAGGCAGATAATTTTAAAATAAAGTAAATAAAATTATATTTATAGATGGACCTTTTTTCGGAGAAGCACTGTTGAAATTTATACACACACACACACACACAGAGACCCTTGATTGAATATACACACACACACAGACACACACAGACACACACAAAGAGAGAGAGAGAGAGAGAAGGAACAAAAGCATTTTCTGTTGTTTTGGGGAAGTAAAATCTGTGGTTGGTAGGAAGACATATCAATGACTTCCAAACATGTGATCCTGTCTTGAAAGTTTTTTGTTTTTACCCTGTCCCTCTTCCCTTTGCTTTCAGAGATTGACATTTCTAGTCATTTCTTTTCTTGTTAAAATAATCTCTTTGCTCCCCTGTGATTCCTTGACTTGTCATTATTACCACAGATGTGTTCGTATTTTTTTTTCTCATTTCTGATGATACTAATGTTGATGAATTTTTAATTCTATTTGATGTGGTAGAGTTGGGGGGTTTGGGGTTTTTTTTTTCCCCTCTTTTACTTTTCATTGAGGAAGGGGATGATCTCCTTTCTCCTCTCCCTCAGCCAATTATTTGCAGAAGCTCCTTCAGCCCTGCAGTTCCCCCCAAATGACCTTTTTCCAGTATCCTCTGTCCTCAGTCATGCCAGTCTGGACATGTTCTGTTGTGCCCTGTGATATAACTGCTCGGTATTCCTATTGCTTTTACTGTGTTTTAGGTACTATGGAGGGATCAAACACCCAAATAGAAGCAAGGGAGTATCAGACTATAATGATGCTGGAGTGGACTTCTGTTTAGGAAACATTTTGCATTTGGGCTGTTTCTTCTATCGCTAGGGGTTCTCATGTTGCAGCACTGCTGGGTCATTGCAATTTTGCATCTAGGAGTTAGTTTGAACCAGTTATTCTCTTTTTCCAAGCCACTTTTGTTATAGGTATCCTCCTAGGCCTGTCTCTCCCTTAGCTGAAAAGATCTGAACTGGAAGCAAAGAAGTTGAGACTCTGCCTCCCAGGGGAGGGATTTACCTGCCTCCCAGTACTAAATCGGTTTAGGGCAGGGATCCCTAAAGCAATCAGTTCAGTGTCCTAGTTGTTTCTGCTCCCATTTACAGATGTTTGGATAGCACTGATAGGAGTATGGAGGAGTTTTACGACAGAGCTCACTTGACCAAGATCATCAGCTACCTTCAAATTATTGACTTGGATAGGGTCCAAGACAGATAGTAACCTTTTACAGGAAAGAACAGGGATGGGCATGGAAAGAGATAGCCTTGATCCACAGTATTGTACCTGCATTTTCTACCACCCCAAAATTGTGTGACTTCTCCCATTGTTAACAGATTGCATGGACAATCTTACCTGGCTTCTTTCCCTCTCTCTTTCTTCTTTCTCCTGCCATCCTAGCACATGAGGATTTTTGGTATTGATATAGTTAAAGCTGTTCTGGCACTCAGAGAAGGCCCTGTTTCCAACATCCTCTTATCCTCTCATCCCAGGACATTTGGGCAAGTGAGTAAGGGCCCAGGGACTATTTTCCCTCTGAATAAGCAGTCTGAGGAAGGGACTCAAAAGTGAACCCTCAGGCTCACTTTTGGCCAGTTTTCTGCTTGGGAAAATCTAACTTTTTTCACAGTGAGGCAGGCTTCCTATGGATGTAGCAGTACTTGTTTTTCCTCCACACATGGCCCTTTTCATGGATATACCTTGAACAGCAAAAAGAATGGGGCATAAAGGAATAAAGATAAACTCTTCTGTGGAGAGCAAGCCACTGTAGCATGGAATCTGGAGATTGGGAGTCTGTCCTAAACCCCATGGGAGAAGACTTCATCATGAAAGGACCTCACCTTACCAACCAGCAGCCATAACTGTGTGGAGGCTTCAGCAATAGCTAGTATGTTTACTGCTCTATGCCTCCTGATCCAGACCAGGCATTGCCCAGCCTGGGAATCCTTTCTTTGTGGGAATTCAATTATAAGCTGTTTAAGCTTCTACTCTATCACAACCAAGTCAGACTTGTATAATAAGTCAAAGATGAGCCTGATCTGGGGAGAGGGCCAGGGCTCGGGACTGGCCATCACTGTTCAGCACATGACCTAACTACATAAGCCTCCATAGCAAGGGACCTGGTGGCCAGCACCCAAGCTAAAATGTCCTCTCTGGCAAACAGAGTGTTTTGGTAGCTGTGCAGGCCTCTCTTTAGTGTACCTCTTTTTTCTACTTTGCACTCCTCCTCAGTAGGCTTGGCCTTGACATGCTTCTCTGGGAGTTGGCAGCACACCAGAAGGGGATGCTTGGTCAAGTCTCTGGGCCTACATTTTTTGACTAGGCCCTCTCATTTCCTCCCTCCTTGGGGCTTGTACCCAGGGCTCCAGGATCAGGGATGTTACCTCTCAACCCTCATTTCTCCTCTACTGAACCTACTGGGCTCACGAGATGCCAGTAACTTGTGAACAACAAGAAATCATCTCCCCATTGGTTAGAGTATTCCCTCAGCCCATAGCATCAAAGCAGACCAGTGGCCAACAGCCCCAAGGGGAGCTCAGTTAAATACCTGGGTTCAGTGTCCGAACCTGTTGTGTCCCAACAGCAATGGCAACCCCAAGAATTCTGTAATCCTCCCATTTCCGCATGGCCCTGAGCTCCCCTTTCCTCAGCTCAACGAGACTAGGATTTGCTCTCCAAGAAGCCTTGCTAATGTGTTCTATGGGACCTGCTGTGGGGAGTCCTAGGACAGACATCTAATTATTCTCTTTTTTTCTCCCCTCTCTCTCTGTGTATATTTCTAATGGATCTATAGGAACAGCAACAAGAGAGTTCTAACAATTCTAGTGTGAAGCCAAATAGTGATCTTTTAGTGCTTTGGGGATGGGGTGGGCTGGGGTGGATGGATGGGCAACAGTGACTTTGATTACCCTTGCTGCTCTGCATTTGCCAGTTTATTCTTTTGTTTCTCTTATCTGACTGTTTGACTCTGTCAAACAAGTGTCAAAGTTGTGTGTTAAAAAAATGTTTAACAAAAAAAAATGTTGTAATGACACAAAGCCTTATGAAAATATTTATGGAGTTCAATAAAAGAAGTAAAAAGTCACCTCTGGGCATAACTCTCATTCCATTTTGTGTGTGTGTGTGTGTGTGTGTGTGTGTTGCCAATTGTGAAATAAAGGGAATTTGCCTTGTGTGGGGCAGCTTACCTCAACCCTGTCTTGACCTGCCAACCCTGCTGTTGGATTCCTAGGCATCCTATGGGCTTCCTATGGCTTTCCATTAGTTTCCTGGAAGAGTGAACCACAAGGACTATGTTTGATCCTGTAACCAGGGGCAGTCAAATGTCGTTATGAATGGGACTATCCTTCATGTTACCCAGACTTAAAGGTCCATTTCTGACCTTGCCCCTTTTCCCTATAGCAGCAAATGCAATACTGGCCCTGAGCCCTCATGGAAGCTTAAAGGCTGCCTTTTGAACCCATCCAGAGACCATATCATTTAGGAATTTGCAACTCCCACTTCCTTCCTAAAGCCTTTGATCCTGTCTTTTCAGAGGTAGCTGTATTCCTTATCTGTTCCTCAGAGCAGGTGGAGTGACCTTACTGTTTCTTCTATCATGGTGTCATCTGCATGTAGATGTTCCTTGCTGTCAGTAGGCCTCTATGTGGTATCTTATGCTCCCTGTGGGAAACCCAATAATAGAGGTTCCTTTCTGACATTGCCTTACCTGCCTTTCTCCAGAGCAACTAAACAGTGACCCCAGTAAAATGCATATTTACTAAAAGGGTATAGATAATTATTACAATCTGTATAGTTGAAAGGGGGAGCAGATGTTCAGCCTCTGGATCAGAATGTGAGCCCTGTCTGTTTTGGCCTTCAGGATGCCCCCCGCCACTTCCAGGATTTGATTTGAAGAACAGATAATTGAACCCTCCTCTATTTCACTAACTTTTCCCCTTTCTCCATTTCTTGGCTCTCCTTATTTAACGCCTTCCTCTGCTATGACCATCTTTTTTCCCTTTTCCCTAGGGTCTGTCATCTCTCCACACCAACATCAGCAGTACTTAGCTCTCAGCAGTCCTTCCTGTATCTTGCCAATTCTTAGCCTTCCCAGTTTCCAGAAATAAATCTCAATTACCTCCTGCAGAGGAAGAGGGCAACATCTGGTCTCAGTCTTCCCTGACTACTGTCCAAGAGCACTAGAAGTGGGGAGACAAATGGTGGGGTTGTTACACTCTGAGATACACTAGGTTCTTTCCTAAGGTACCTAAAATGAAACAGCTCTTATCACCATAAGAATCATTTCTGAACAACCCCTGTGATGGTTAATACTGAGTGTCATCTTGATTAGATTGAAGGATACAAAGTATTGATCCTGGGTGTGTCTGTGAGGGTGGTGAAAAAAGAAATTAACATTTGAGTCAGTCAGCTGCGAAAGGCAGACCCACACTTAATCTGGGTGAGCACAATCTAATCAGCTGCCAGCACAGCTAGAATATAAGCAGGCAGAAAAATGTAAAAAGAGAGGCCAGCCTACATCTTTTTCCCATGCTGGATGCCTCCTGCCCTCAAACATCAGACTCCAAGTTCTTCAGTTTTGGGACTCGGACTGGCTCTCCTTGCTCCTCAGCTTGCAGACAGCTATTGTGTGACCTTTGTGATCGTGTAAGTTAATATTTAATAAACTCCCCTTTACATACATATATATATATATCCTATTAAACTCCACTTTACATACATACGTGTGTGTGTGTGTGTGTGTGTGTGTGTGTGTGTGTGTGTGTGTGTATCCTATTAGTTCTGTCCCTCTAGAGAACCATGACTAATACAGATTTTGGTACCAGGAGTGGTTCTAGAGGAACACGATATTAAGGATAGAGTTCTTTCATTGGTTTGGGGTTTCTGGAGTTGACTGTTTAATACAAGTAGACCCAAAAATACTAAGGACTGTACTTTTAATAGTATGGAGAACACTGATAGTCCTTGGCGTGAACTCTTTAGAGTTACACAAAATAAATGCATTTGATACTCCTTATTTACCACTTGTGAGAGGCAAGGGGTTTAGTGACTCTATACATAATACCTTTGACCATATGTGGAGAACCAAGGAACATAATCAAGCTGGTTGATTGCTTCTAAGTACAGTGGACAAAGTGAGGAAAGAAAGTGATGAACTCAACAGATTCTGTCTCCCAGCTTCAGAAGCAGATACAGAGCTTCAAATCTGCTAAGATTGCCCAGAGTGAGTCTTATCTCCTGCAGAGAAACAGTTGAAATTGGGGAAAAACAGACATAAGCCTCTATCATGCAAGTGGCTGACCTGCAATGAAAGGTACATGCACAGCCTCACCAGATGTCTACTGTTAAAGTGAGGACATTGATTGGAAAAGAATGGGACCCTGCAACTTGGAATGGTGACATGTGGGAGGACCCTGATGAACCTGGGGACACTGAGTTTGTAATCTCTGATGAACCTTCTTTTTCCAGAAAGAACAGCTTCCCTATTCCCAGTGGTGGCAACATCCCCTCCTTGGCCCATGCTGCCATCAGCCTTTCCACTTTTGTCTGAGGAGATAAACGCTGCACTGCCTGAGGCAGTTGACAGGACAGATAATGTTGATTCTCCTCAGGAGCAACCTACAACACCCCTGTTCACTTCTAGACCTGTAACTAGACTAAAGTCGCAGAGGGACCCTAGAGGTGAGGTTGAGAGTGTGACCCATAAGGAAGTGGGATACACTTGAAAAGAATTGCTTGAGTTCTCTATATAAACAAAAATTTGGAGAACAGGCATGGGAATGGATTTTAAGGATATGAGATAATGGTTGAAAGAACATAGCATTGGATGAGGCTGAATTTATGGATTTTGGCCCATTAAGTAGGGAGTCTGCTTTTAATGTTGCAGCTCGGGAAGTTAAAAAAAAAAAGGTTCTAATAATTTATTTGCTTGGTTAGCTGAAATATGGATTGATAGGTGGCCCACGTGAGTGGGCTGCTAATGCCTACTCTCCCTTGGTTTAATGTAGAGGAAGTGATCCAAAAAGGCTTAGGGAGATTGGAATGATGGACTGGATTAGTCACTTTAGACCTACTCATCCCAGCTGGGAGGGTCCAGAAGATGTACCCTTGACCAGTGCCTTGCAAAATAGATTTGTGAGGGCAGCACTTGAATCTTTAAGAGCCCTGTAATTGCTCTTTTCTGTATGTCAGATTTAACAGTGGAACCATGGTTACTCAACTACAAAATTTAAATACAGTGGGAATAACTGGGTCCTGAAGTGTCAGGGGCCAAGTGTTGGCACTCAATCATCAATGGCAAGGTGGGTATAGCTATCGTAATGGACAGCAGAGACAAAGCAGCAGTCAGAGTAGTCTGACTCATGTAGAGGCTCTGGCATTGGCTAATTAACCACGGTATTCCTAGAATTGACATTGGTAGGAAGCCCGCTGCTTTTTCCTTAATTTATATAGGGAGAAAACTTCAAAGTAGAATGGACAAAAGACTAATTTAAATTATAAAAACAGAATCACAGCAACCTCAGTCAATTTCCGTACTTGACTTAGCTTACAGACCCAAAACACCTTGAATGAAGGCAAGGCTGTATTCCCTTGAGGAAAGACACCACTATATTACTGACCATTTAGGCAGTGAATCTTTCTGCCACCCTTCTCCAAGGAGACCTCTGGCCTTTTACTAGGGAAACTGTTCATTGGGGAAAGGGAAATGATCAGACATCTCGATGACTACAGGACACTGGTTCTGAGCTGACATTGATTCCAGTGGACCTGAAACATCATGATGGTTCTCCAGTTAAAGTAGGAGCTTATGGAGGTTAGGTAATTAATGGAGTTTTAGTTCAGGTTCGATTTACAGTGAGTCTAATATGTCCCCGGACTCATCCTGTGGTCATTTTCCCAGTGCCAGAATGCATAATTGGCTTAGACATACTTAGCAGCTGGCAGAACCCCCACATTGGCTCCCTGACTGGTACGGTGAGGGCTATTATGGTGAGAAAGGCCAAATGGAAGCCATTAGAGCTGCCTCTACCTAGAAAAATACTAAATTAAATAAATACATCCCTAGAGTAATTGTGAAGATTAATGCCACCATCAAGGACTTGAAATACACAGGGGAGCTAATTCCCACCACATCCCTGTTCCACTCTCCCATTTGCCCTGTGCAGAAGACAGATGGGTTTTGAAGAATGACAGTGAATTATCGTAAGCTTAACCCAGTGGCAACTCCAATTGCAGCTGCTGTACCAGATGTGGTTTTATTACTGAGCAAATTAACACATCTCCTGGTACATGGTATGCAGCCATTGACTTGGCCTTTTTCTCTATTGCTGCACATAAGGTCCACCAGAAGGAATTTGCATTCATCTGGCAAGGCCAGAAATATATATTTACTGTCCTATCTCAGGGGTATATCAAATCTCTGGCTTTGCATCATAATCTTATTCAGAGAGATTTTGATAGCTTTTTGCTTCTGCAAGATATCACACTAGTCCATTACATTGATGACATGATGATTGGATCCAGTGAGCAAGAAGTAGCAAACACACTGGACTTATTGGTGCTGCTTTTGAGTGCCAGAGGATGGGAAATAAATACAACGAAAACAGGGACCGTCTACCTCATAAAATTTCTAGGGGTCCAGTACATGGGGTCTGTCAAGATATTCCTTCAAAGGTGAAGGATAAGTTGCTGCATTTGGCACCTCCTCCAACCAAGAAAGAGGCACAGTGCCTAGTGAGCCTATTTGGATTTTGGAGACAACACATTCCTCATTTGGGTGTGTTACTCCAACCTATTTATCCAGTGACCTGAAAGGCTGCCAGTTTTGAGTGGGGTACAGAACAAGAGAAGGCTTTGCAACATGTCCAGGCTGCTGTGCTAGCTGCGCTGTCACTTGGGCCATATGACCCAGGACATCTAATCAGTGGCAGCTGGAGATGCTGTTTGGATCCTTTCACAGGCCCCCATAGGTGAATCACAGTGGAGGCCTCTAGGATTTTGGAGCAAGGCCCTGCCATCTTCTGCAGATAACTACTCTCCTTTTTAGAGACAGGTCTTGCCCTGTTACTGGGCCTTGGTTGA